AAAGACCATCCCACAGAACCAGCCTGCTCTACAGAACTAGTTCCAGGACAGCCAGGGCTATAAAGAGAAACCTAGTCTCAAAAAATCAAAACAAAATTAAAAACCCCACACAATCAAAATGAGGAAGGTATAAGCACTTTCAGTGCCAGGACTTCTATTGCTATGTCGAAACACCACGACCAAAAGCAAGTTGGGGAGAAAAGGATTTATTTGGCTTACACTTACATATCACTGTTACTGAAGGAAGTCAGGACAGGAACTCAAACAGGGCAGGAATCTGGAGGCAGGAGCTGATACAGAGGCCATAGAAGGCTGTTGCTTCCTGGCTTGCTCCCTATGGCTTGCTCAACCTACTTTCTTTTCTTTTTCTTTTCTTTTCTTTCTTTTTTTAAATTGATTTATTTTGTATATAGTGTTCTGTCTGCACACCAGAAGAGGGCATCAGATCTCATTATAGATGGCTGTGAGCCACCATGTGGTTGCTGGGAATTGAACTCAGGACCTCTGGAAGAGCAGTCAATGCTCTTAACCTCTGAGCCATCTCTCCAGCCCTCAGCCTGCTTTCTTGTACAAGTCGGTGTTGGGAGCATAGCATGAAGGTCCTTCTGCCCACAGATCTACAGAGAAACCAGGTATGTTAAGCACTCAAGATTGTCTTTCCAATGAGAGAGATGTAAAAACCCATTCTTCAATACAGAAAGCTGGGAATTAGAAGTGATTAATAGCTGGGTGTTCTGTGTTATCTGTTGGACCAGGCCATATCAAGCTCCTACAATCAGGACCAGAGGTAGCTAGTAACCTAAATGACTCTTACAGCCAGGGATCCCCAAGCTCCCACAACCAGATTGGAGATACGTTAGTCTAAATGACTCTTACATTATCTATGTAGCCAGGGGCTCCCCAAGTTTCCACAACCACAACCAGAGGTGGCTAATATGACTGAGACCAGTACAGATCCTTCCGCAGTTTCTTGAGCTAGTACAAGTAGCCTATCTCTAGAATCCATCTTCTTGGAAGAAATGACATTTACCCTGAGTTGAGTTTCGATGTAGCTCTGCTCATTGTGTACAGGGGATTGAATTACACCAGGAAACGTTTCCCCCCTAAATCATACTCTCTGAAGTCAGACTCCCTGAAGTCTGAACCGAGTTTTCATTCTCATTTCTTCACGGTTCACTTCCCTGCCTGGACACTTGGTACCACCTACAGTGGGCTGGACCCTCCCCGATAAGTCATTAATTAAGAAAATGCCCTACATCTATCTTATGAGTTGAGGCTTCCTCCTTTTAGATAACTCTAGTTTGTGTCAAGTCGACATAAAACTATCCAGCACGCGTACTGTGGGCCAAAATCCTTGCCAATCTTTTCGCCCCCACTTCCCCACCCCACTGGCCAATACAAACCTTTCCCCGTCATATTCTATAAGAAGAATATAAAAAATGAAAATCCCTATTAAAATAGAGATTGAATATGAATGTTTTCTTTTTGGAGTCTTTAGTCAGTCAGAGATCTCTTAACCGCTGAGCCATCTCTCCAGCCCCAGTCAGAGATCTCTTTCTTGAGAGCTGCCAGGCTGCAAGCCGACATAAGTAGACTTGAGGATGTGTGTTTGGAAGCCTGTGGTGTTGTGAAGGAGTGTCACAAAGTGGGAGCCTGGCTTTCATAGCCCATCTGGGTGGCACATGTTGTTTACGTCTGTAGCCACATGAAAGGTGACGAACAACCCAAGAGGGTTTTGCCAACAAATAGAAACATTTACCACACAGCAGTTATGGTGGCCAAAACATTAAAAATCAGTAAGAAATTAATGAATATATTTTCAAAACTATTCTAAGATACATTTGTTGATCTCATTAGAGTGCTTTAGTTTGAGTTTCTGGCACACAAAAAAAGCTATTTTTTCAGAATAAATCATTACATTAAGCATATCTTTTCCAAAAATACTAATTAAAGATGACTGACAAAAAATGTTTGCCTCTAAACTTCCATTAAAATGAGAATAATTTGATTTTTTTATTAAAAATGGGAAGAAATAGCGAGAGCAACAGAATTAGGATTTAAAAAACTTATTGAACTGAGAAAGTTAAACTGTAAGCCAGCAGAAGGGAAAGCGAAAAAGCAACCCGGGGCTCATCAGAAGCCAGGCAAGAGCATCCTTCCCAAATACACATCTCTAAGCAGAAGACTTGAGGTCCATAGAAAGTATAAAGTTGTCAATAAAGCATAACTGAGACACTGGGCAGGATTAAGGCTGGCAGTGGGATACTGACAGTACATATATTTGAAAAACTGATTTATATGATAAAGCATTGTGCTTTTCAGTTGACATTCAATCACTAGAGTGTTGGCATCCAGGAATAACTACCCTCTCTCTATGAAGAACATATTTTCCTCCCTATAAAACTCAACTAAGATAATTTTTAAAGAAGAAGAAGGGGGAGGAGGAGGAGAAGAAGGAGGAGAAGGAGGAGGAGGAGGAAGAAGACCCTGCCCCCAGTAAGCAGGGCATGCAGAGCACTCTGAAGACAGGCAGCCAGCTTCATCTGTGGCATGGAGTTTCCATGACTAAAATACCAGTGAAGACCCAGAATCAAGACAGGTCTACAGGAACAGCAAGACACAACATATATGGGAAAAGAAACGTGGTGCACGCCTGTAATAACAGCACTCAGGAGGCAGGGGCAGGTGGATCTCTGAGTTCGAGGTCAACCTGATCTACAGAGTGAGTTTCAGGACAGACAGGGCTACACAGAGAAATCCTCTTTTGAAAAACAAACAGACAAAAAACAAAAAACACATACACAAAAAGAAAGAAATAGAGAAAGAAAGAAAGAAAGGAAGGAAGGAAGAGAGAGAAGGAGGAAAGGAGGGAGGGAGGGAGGGAGGGAGGGAGGGAGGGAGAAACCTAGTATTAACACAGATGAAAGGACTAGATAGAAGGTTCTAGAAGATTAAAAAGCCCTTAATACTGATGGATTAGAAGAATTAATACTAAACTACCAAAAGTATTCTACAGATTCAATACAATCCCCACTAAAATGCCAATGTTATTCTTTGCAGAAGTAGGAAAAAAATTTTAAATTCATATAGAAGTACAAGTGACCCTAGATAGCCAAAGGAATCCTGAACTGAAAGAACAATGTTGGAAATATTACCATATCTAATTTCAAGTTGTGCCACAGAGCCACAGGAACAGACACATAAAGCCACATAGAACAGACGTGGTATTACAGAGCTTTAATCCCAGCACTTGGGATACAGAGGCAGGGAGATCTCTGTAAGTTTAAGACCAGCCTGGTGTACAAAGGGAATTCCAGGCCAGCCAGGTATACATAATGAGACTGGTCCCTAAAAACAAAAATGCCAGACAAAATCCCAGACACATAGATCAGTGGAATAGAGCACCCAGAATTAAACTCATGCAACCACAGATACATGATTTTTAACAAAGATGGCAAAAATACACATTGGAGAAAAGAAAACAGCTTCAACAAATAGTGCTGGCCAAACTGGATATCCAAATATACAGAATGAAGTTAGATCTCTATCTTTTACTTTGAATGAAAATCAACTACAAATAGATCCAAGACCATAATTTAAGAGGTAAAATTCTAAAACTGATAGAGAAAAATATAAGACAAAGATGACAAAATATAGGTAGAGGGAAGTGCTGATTAGGACTCTGGTCGCTTAAGAAATAGATCTAGAAATAGACAGACGGGTAGAATTAAAAGACTTCAGCACAAGCAAAGGACATCATTAATCTGATGAAGATATTCCTTCAGAATAGAGAGAAGTCTTTGTTAGCTATACATCTGACAGAGGATTGACGTCTAGAACATGCAAAGAACTCAAAAAACTAAATGCCAAAAAAGCCAAACAGCCCAACCAATACATAGGCTACTGAAATGAGCAAGACCATGTGTAATTGGTGCACACCTTTAATCTCAGCACTTGGGAGGCAGAGGCAGGGTAATCTCTGGGAGTTCAAGGCCAGCCTGGTCTACATAGTGAGTTCCAGGCCAGCAAGGGCTACAATAAAGATGCTTGTACAAGCCACCAAGCCTGAGGACCTCTTGAGTTTCATCTTGAGAACTCCCATGGTGAAAAGAGCACTGACTCTCACAAGTTGTCCTCTGAATACACACACTAAATAAACTAACAAACAAATGTAAAGAAAAATTCAAAACATGAAAAATACTCAACACCACTAGCCACCAGAGAAATGCAAATAAAAACTACTTTGAGCTTTTCATCTCACCTCAATTGGAATGGCAGAATTAAGAAAACAGCAAATATTGATGAGGGTATAGATAAGAGGGAACACTACAAACTGCTGATGGAATAGAAACTAGTTCAACCACCATGGACATCAATATGGAGTGAGGTTCCTCAGAGCTAAAAGGAGATTTTCCCTATGATGACTCCGCTATATTACTCCCAGTATTTACCCAAGGGACTGCAAGTCAACACATCACAGAGATACTTGCACATTGATGTTACTGCAGCACCATTCACAATAGCTGATCATAGAACCAGCCTGGGCCCAACACCAGAGAGTGATAAAGAAACTGTAGACTATTATACACACAATGGAAATTTTCTCAGTACAGATAATAATGAAATTGTGTCACTGGTAGGGAAGTTAATGCAACCAGAGATAACCTTACTAAGTTAATTAAGTTAGTCTCAGGAAAACAAATACCTCATTTCCCCAGGTTGGTAGGTCCTAGATGTTACACATATAGAAAATCGTGTGGACAGATGACTGAAAGTGGCTGGAGAAATGGCCCTGGCTCAGAATTCAGAGCACAAACTGCGCTTCCAGAGGACCCCAGTCTAATTCCCAGCACCCATATGGGGCAAAGTTGCTCACAACTACTTCTAACTCCAGTTCCAGGAAATTCAACACTCTCTTCTGGCCTCCACAGGTACTTCACTCGTGTGCACAATCCCTCCCCCATATACAAATGATTAAAAATAAAAATAACTGAGAGAAAGGGAGGGCCGACAGAACCAGGGTAGCAGCAGCCATCCTCCCGACGGAACGACTGTTCGAGTCACTACCATGAGCCATAACTCCCAAGCCTTCTTGCCCACCAATGCCGGACTTCCCCCAAGCTATGAGACAATCAAAGAGGAGTATGGGGTGACTGAGCTGGGGGAACCCCACAGCTCAGCTGTGGTGAGGACCACCGTGATCAACATGCCCAGAGAGGTCGCTGTGCCTGACCATGTGGTCTGGTCCCTCTTCAACACACTCTTCTTGAACTTCTGCTGCCTGGGTTTCATTGCCTATGCCTACTCTGTGAAGTCCAGGGACAGGAAGATGGTGGGTGATGTGATTGGAGCCCAGGCCTACGCCTCTACTGCCAAGTGCCTGAATATCAGCTCCCTGATCTTCAGCATCCTAATGGTCATTATCTGCATCATTATCATTTCCACCACCTCTGTGGC